CTTTGGCATCGTTGGATAGAGAATTGAAAAGTCAATTCAGTCGTAACAGTTTTGACCCAGAAAGCGAAATTTCAATATCATACACTTTGGTGCAAAGATTATGCCAAAATTTCATGTTTTCCGTCAAGTTTTTGCTCATTTCTCGAAGACTAAATGATCAAGAACGCTCATTTGTACATCATTCTAGAGAGAAATAAATGGCCTTTTTAGAAAGTGAACGATCAATAAGGAAATGTTGGCAGTTTTCTCAAAAAATTCTTGAATTCAAGAAGTTTGAGTTGCAAAATTCAGTTGAACATGACACTAGTTATATTTGGGATTCCTTAAAGCATCCGTAGGCACATGGGCAGCAACAACATATTAAGATTCTAGCTGGAAAATCGACCTTTTGCCTAATTTGAATTAAACCGACGATATTGAATAATAAGCCGGTTTATCTTACGTCAGATGTGTGCAGTGCATAGTATAATCGACCGTCGATTCTCAGAAATCTGCCCGACCCACAGATACACAACTTTTCCGCATAGCAAACTTGACAATGGGATTTCGCAAGATCGATTAAGTGTTACGAATCAAATTAAGATAGTTTTTTGGTAGCCATGTTGCCAACTTGCAGGGGTTCATCAAAACATGCCATATTTTCCACCCCAATTGGTCCCTGTGGTGATCGAAGGCAGAATCGTATTCCATCGGAGATCAACAATGAAATAATCAGTTAATTTCCGCAATCTTTTAAAAGTTACCAGTCGATTGGCGTAGCGATAATTCATCTGAGACGCTCCTCGAGACGAGTGCTTTCAGATATTTTTGGAAATTACTGCATCTACTAAGTTTGCCATTGTTTGCAAAATGGGACTTAGGATAATTTGTCTGTGATGATGATTAGGAGTGAAGGTCATCTGGTTGTTCTCCTGTAACTCTCAAGATCGTTTGCGTTGATATCGCCTGGAAGTCTAGACTTTACTATCACCATTAACTTCCAGCCAGCTCACACATCATGTATAAAAACGAAAGGTGAGGTAAGAGTGGCAATCAGTGGAAACTAATGGGGATTTTCTGTTGCTTCAGATGCTGTCGGTAGTAAGCGCCGGTGCCGCGGCTGGTATGGGCGGCATGGACCGGTTGCGAGGCGGCGGAAGGGCGGCAGCAAGAGAACTGGCCGCCACCCGCGACCGGCAGGTACGACTGCATGCTGTGACAACCGATCTGAGCCTGAACCTGCCGCCCAGTATAGCGTTGCCTGATGGAGAGGAATATCATTATCACCATCGCCACCACCACCACCATCGAACCGCCTATTCATCCCGTTCTCGATTTCATATGAGGACTCCCGAACAAGTAAGTCTCTTGCCAAGTGATGAGCAAAGCAAGCCCAAGACTTGCATGGTCCTGTTTTTTGTTTTTGCATACATAGTCTTGGTCTGGGTCTTACACCTAGACTCTTGCAAGTCTTGCTTTTATACAGGGTTGCTCATTAGTGCGTCAAAGTGCGATATCTCAGTAAATATGAACTTTACAAGAAAATACGTCCTACGAAAGTTTTTCATGTTTAAAAGGTCCACATTTTAAAATTACAATTTCCAATATACGGGGTGTATCATAAACGTGTGGTAGTTACCAACTTTGGTTTTTTAAATGGAACCGCCCCTTTTTTCATTCATTTTCAGATTTGTCGTCAAAATTTAAGTTAAGTTTGTGTCAAACGTTTTACCTGAAAAATTTACGATTTCCGAGTTATTCGTAAAAATGTGAAAGTTTTGACAGCT